ATCGAGTGGTACTTAAAAATATGATTATTGAAAATTTGAAAAGTACATTTTTAAACAACAATATAAATTTAATTGATTTTAAAAATAAATATATTTAATTTAATAAATAGATCACAATAAAATAATAATTTAATGCTAAATTTATATATTCTTATCAACATTTAAATTTTATAAGTTTCTATTTAATTCAATTAAATTCATAAAATGCAACACTAATTATGTGTCTGTTTTATTTGTTTTACTACAATTTAAATCAATATTTTTTTAAAAAAATCTAAGTATTAATTACTTCTATCATAAAAAATTAAAATTAAAATGATCTCATGCTTGTGTTTTATGTATATTTTATCATTAATAATATTGGTTGAACAATTGTATGAAATCTATCTATTTTAATTTAAATGAATTTGGTCTCATTTACTTAGACCTTTTCGTTTAATTTGATATATATTTTATTAACAAAACATGTAATGTTTCGAAACATCAACAACATGTAATGTAAATCTATTCAATGATAACATAAAAATCATCCAGGCAATACAGAGAGTTTAAAATAATTTGAACCTAGATATGATCAAAATGTTGGAACCAGAGACTTAGAAGCGTGTCATCTGAGTTGGTCGGGAACTGGTGGTTCTGGATGCATGACAACTTACATCGAGTGGAAGTGAGTATCTATACCGCGGATAAACTAATATTTAATTGTACTTTTGTATATAAGAAGATAAGTGTACTTTTGTATATAAGATAGGGACGTGTCACACCCATAGAAAGATAAGTGTACTTTTGTATATAAGATATATATATATATATTATAGAGATAAACTAGTATTTAATTTAATTATTAAATATATAGTTTTTAATGTGCTAAAATATTTAAAATTTTAAATAATATCACATTATATCACGAGTAAAAAAAATCAAAGATAGAATAATGATTCTGGTATATTAAAAGTCTCATCATCAGCAAATGGTGTATGATGATTTGACATCTAATGCTAAATAAAAGGGGGCAATTGCAAAAATACCCTTAAATGTCGATTTCACTTACAGCCCATACCCTCGCACAGTGAAAAAAAAACGGCAACATCAGATATACCCTTATAAATATAGAATCCCTATAATACCCTTCCTTTATTTATATAATATTATAATATACTAAAATAAATAAAATATAGATCT